TTTCTTTTTCTTAGATCAATTTTTCGAAGCGGAGTCAAATTCAGAACAGTTGAAACTGCTTTCAAGAAGCAACGGAATTGATGACATTGTTTCCACTGTAATTTTCAAAAATTCAGTTTAACTTCATCGATAAGAAGACCAAAGCGTCAGTAAACCTCCCAATTTGTCAAGGCCGCAACTATGCAATTAGTAATGGAAATTATGATGTGTGATGATGTCAGTTACTTGTTTAGATGAAAGGATATCTTTTTTTCGAGGCTATAAGATTTGCTGAAGCATTATTTGATGATGAATAGTAATTTGCTTTTCTTTGGCGAACCGCAGTAGCTGAAACAAAATATGTCAGGCGTTTTTGGTTGTATCGTTATTGGTTGCATTCAGGATTACCGCTCTCAGGTGGTGGCCAATTTTTATTCTTGGATCTCCTTCTTTGAGTTTATTCTTTTCCTCTTTTGGGTTTAGTAGGAAAAATTTGATTGGTGATACGTTACTGTTGTTTTGTGCTGTATAGTTGAATTGATTATTGGTTGTTCTGCGAGTGTTAAAGCTATGCGTGATTTGTAACTAGTTAGTTCTGTGGGAAATGGCTGCAATTACTTTTCGGTGAAATGATATCACAAGGTCAGTGTTTGATAGCAGTGTGAAAAAAGCTTTCGTCGGAGTCAGCTATGTTTTTTAGTCTAGGTTTTGATGCAACCCTGCCTTTGATCGATTTGTTTCAGCTTGAAAACGATATGGAATGCTGCCATGCGGAAGATCTGCATTCACTTAATTGATCGGACTTGATGAATGGATTCGAACAAAAATGGATTAGGATCGATTTTAGTATGAAAAAAGTACGAAGACTAAGTTAAAAAAATAAAGATTAATTTGGATCGATTTAAAATCGATTTAAATTGATCGTAATTCCCAGCTACAAAAATTAATCCAAATCAATTTTAAATCAATTTGAATCCATTTTTTCCAGTCTTTGTTTGTTTTTGTTTTTAAGGTAATTAAAACGGATTTAAATCGATTCAAAATCATTTTTTTTATTCGAGTTTCATTGGTTTCAAATTTTTATTGCATTTACTCATTGCCAATCGTTTTTCCTTTCACATCCATGGCGTATTGTAGCATAAAAAAGACAAAATAACAAGACTAAAATGTCAATTAAATTTTATGATTTCCTTGCATAGTTTGAGTTCAAAAACTGATCTCTATTGATCCTTTTCCTGATTCGTTTCATAAGTTTTTGCTCAAAATCTGATTTAAGTTCATGATTTTCTATGTTTTAATTGCGTTTTATTGAGATCAGATTGTTTTTATTCTGACCCTTTTCTTGTTTGTTACACAGAATTTTGCCCACAATCTGAATTACACTGATTTTCTATGATTTCAATGCATATTTTCGAGCTTATGTGTTTTTTTCCAAAAACCAAAAATTAAAAATTTAATTTTCCTGATGAGTGTTTTTTTGCCATGCTAGCAAAAATATTGTTTTTAGTGAGTCTGAAAATCCTTCCAAATTGATTTAAATCGAATTTTAAGACACTAAAATTGTTCAACAAATCGATATAAAATGGATTTAAATGAGATTCCGATGGATTTTAGTGAGTTTCGGATGCGTTTTAGTGATTCGGAAAATCATTCCAAAACGATTCAAATCGATTTTTTAGACGTTTGTTTAAAATTCTACAAATTTCAATATCGAACAAAGATTGATATAAATTGTTTTAAAATCCATTTAAGTTCGTAAAATGTACATTGTTAATCGATTTGGTTCGAATTAAAACCGATTTAAAATCAATTTAAAACGATCTGAAACCATTTTGTCGGTGCGGGTTTCCAATTGTTGAGTGTTCATTTCCGTTTTTGTTCAGTTGAGTTAGTTCCCGCACTCAGTAAAAAGAGAAATAATCGATTATATTTTAATTATAATCGTACTTTTAGCAAACTTATAATTAATTTTAAGCGCCAATTTTAGATTTTTAAACGATTTGTAATCCATTATAATGATAATATTTTGGTCAAATTTTAATAAATCATAATTAATTATAATTGATTGTATTTTTCCGAAAATCTCTGATAATTTTTTATAATAGATTACCATCCCTTTTTCTGCCAAAATATTATCTTACAAAAAAAATTAATTATAATGGGTTAACTATTCTGCATGAAAACAGAGTAAAAATTAAATTAAATTTAAGTTTAAACTGTAAGTACGAAACAACAGTTTTTTTTTTAGTTCGGTAGCCAACTGAAAAATACACAAAACGAAACAAAAAAAACGGATTGAAGCGATGACTTTAGTTGAGTAACCAACTGAAAAGCACTTAAAACAAAAAAAATAAAACGAATTGAAGCGATGACGTTTGTTGAACAAAAATGTATTATAATCCATTGTAATGGATTATAATTTATTAAAAATTGACGAAAATGTTTTTCAAAAAAATCAATTATAATCGATTAAATTCGATTATAATGTGTTTTATTGTTTCGAAAATAGTAACCTTATAATCCCTTTTTAATCGATTAAAAACAATTCTTTTTTTGAAAATTATGGAGGCTGACAAAAAAATTCCTTATATTCTATCATTTTCTCTTTTTTCTGAGTGCGAGTTTCTTGATTCTTCATCCAGAAGCAACAATCTTTATGATAAGTTCTACCTGGTTTCCCTTTCGAGTCGCAGAATTCACAGTGGAGGGTACATGAAATTTGATATTGACCCCATGCAAGTCATAAACACCTTCCATTATGCGATCGTAAGACCAAGCTCTTAGAAAATCTTCTTGGGCTTCATTTTGTAGGATCAGTTCAAGAGAGGCATTGCCAGCATGCACTTTACTTCCGTCTTCTAGTGTGAGAGTTTCATGGTTTATAATGGGGTTGTGCTAGTTTTTTTCTGGTACAAAAGTTTTGTTTTCCTGTCATCACTTATTCAAAGTAAGTTCGCAACTTTCGCTTTAAGTTTGAGAGGGTAGAGATCACAGTAAGGTTCCTGTTGGGAAAACATTTTCCGCCTCAATTTCAGACTTGTTAATTTAGCTTTGATAAGGTGGGTTTCGGATTCAGGGGGTGCAATAACGGTCAATGAGGATAAGTTTCTGCCATCAGCTCTTTCCGTGTTTGTTATTTTGTTTTGGAGTTCTTGCGTAAACTTGTCTAAATTTCCGTTCGGACACACAGCGTTAGCCTTATTTAGGTTTTACAGGGATGAAACGTTTTCTCGGCTAAGACCGGGAACTGTTTTTATGATCTGAATTAGTTTTGTTTGGTTTTTTTTTCTCTTCATGTTGGTTTCCCATAGTGTACGTAAAACAGTTTTTAATGGTGGTGGGCTTACTTTCATCTGAACTCGTCATAAATGCATTTAGTCATTAATGTAGTCATTTTCATATTAATATTGTCATTTAGTCATCAAGTATACAGTGCTGATTTAAATTAACAGGACAAAACGCGTTAAACTTGAAAATTAAAACCCGTTTTTCTCAAATTGGGGTGAGCTTAGGTCAAAATTATGAGGACACAACTGGCTTAAAATTTTAGCAGAATTAATATGGTGTAATTTGTTTTGCGAAATTCGGGCCCAAAATTTTACCCAAAAAATGGGTCAATTTGGCTTTTCTTAGTTAATCAAAAATTACGCCGAAAATACCCAGTCGGATCACAGACATAATTATATCAAAGTGAGCCCCTTACGCAGCCCAACAAACCTTAAGAAGGGTATGATCTCCAAAATATTGTATAAGTTAATTTGTTTTTGTTTGATAGACAAAAAAGGTCGTTTTTACTATATAAAATACCAACTTTTTATTGAAAAACAATTTTTAAACAATTTGCAATTTTTTTGGAGAAAATACCTTTCATAGAGTTTGTTGGGCTGCGTAAGGGGCTCACTTTGATATAATTATGTATGTGATCGACTGGGTATTTTCAGCGTAGATCATTCAGTAAAAATTTATCGTAAATCACGGCAAAGCCCTGAATGTTCCGACTGCATTTTATTTAAAGTCAATCAAAATGTCTGTTGGATGAAAAGATAACAAAAATTTTGAAAAAAAAAATTGAAAGTTGTTTCCCCTTTTTTCCTATATTTATACCTCACACGCAAGTGTAAACTACAATAAAATTTTGACAGAATTTCAAATATCAGCTGAGAGAAATTGAAAAAAAAGACACTAAATCAAGAAAGATTGATCTAAATCGATATAAAATGGATTTAGAAATATTACAATTTTTTTTGTTTAGTAAAAACGTCCTATCAAATTGTTAAACTAAAACTATAAAATGCTACAAAAATGAAGACTTTTTACGGTAATTCATTCAATTCAACGCTTAATTTTTAAGAGAAATTCTTCCCTTTTAATTTTTGACACTATTGAATTCTCAATTTCTGAGTTTTTTATTTATGCTTAATGAATATACATTCATGTAATTTTTTAGAAGAAACTTAGTTTTTGAGTGTGTTTTTTTTCCATAAGAACCAAGTACCACAAAAATTTATAGTTTTGTGCCGAAATATACATCATTCTGAAGCCTTTATGGTTGTATATGGTCTGAGCTCGAATCCACATGAAAATTTCTACTCTTGTAGAATGAAGTTAATTGAATTATCTGCAATTATACAATCGGCCATCAGTAGCAAATATCCCAAAAATGCCTAATTCTGACCACGTTTTTCAAATAATCATTACTAATTCTTAAGACTAATTTCAACCTCTCGCCGTTGGAAGTTTGTTCAAATATTTAAAATATAAAAACTACAATTTTTTGAAATTTTTATGTTTTTTCGCGCTTTATTCGTGTTGAAAATGAACGAATGTTTGAAGGAAAAGATAGAAAAAACTTAAGCAATATGATAAAGTTATGATTTCAAACACCACTTAAACTCCTAATATTACACAAGTATGTTTATCAAATTATAATGACGCGATTATTTTGTCTAAGCGGCTCTCAAAAAGCGAATTACCTTTTGGTGTGAGCTAAAAATGCACGTGAACGATTTATACCGGTTGAAACAAAGATTTGATTATGTTTTTATGATTGTAATAGCTGTGCGTAGCTTACCATACTAGCAAATTCTCAAGCAAAACCACAACCAACACAACTCAGTCATAAATCAAATAAAAAAAGTAAAAAACACCACAAAATACTTTATATGCTGTTTCGTCGTGCAATTGAATGATTTTTTTAAAATTCGTAGTTCACAAAAATGTCAGAAACTGAAAACGGTGAAATTGCAGACAAAAACGGTGCCGAAAACGATGAGGTTGAAAACGAAGATGCGGAGAAGGGATCGGTTACCGGAAGAGATGACGATGACAACGAATCGACAAAAGCCGAAGACGCGCAGTCAACTTCGGCGAACAACGAGGAGGGAAACGAACGAGAAAAAACGGTCGAGGGACGAGGTTAGTCGAAACTTACTTCAAAAAACTTTGAACTTTTTTGAGAATTTTGTAAATTTAGCGATAGCCTGCGTCTAGGTAAAAGTTTTCAAGGGTAGACGAAATAAATTGTTCACATATGCAACTCAAATCATGGCGTCTCTTTGACTTTCTGATCTTTCTGATTTCTAAATAAAACGTTATCAAATTATTGTTTTCTAATAAAATAGTTTTGTTTGTTAAGAATATTATTGTTTTTACTAATTGTTAAAGGTTTGATAACCGAGTTTATTTTTTAGAAACTCCAAAAGATTCAAAAAGCCGAGACTCTACGCGACCCAACACAGGTGCCAAGTCGCGTGTTTCCAACGCATCTAGAGGTTCCAAGAGACCAGAAACAAAGAGCACAAAAAAAGACAGAGATGGAGGTGGTTCGAATCCCGCTAGTCGCCAGTCTACTAGAGACAGCAGAATAGCGAGTGGCACTAAAAAAGAGGTCGAGGCGGATGGAGTTTCTGAGATGACAGTGCCGAAGACACCTCCTCCCGGCGAAACGGAGGGCGGAAATGGTGGTGAGCTTTCCATTGTAATACAAAAAGTCATTCAAAAATCTGAAAACTTTTTTCGAAATCCTGAGAAACTGCCAATGTGTCCAGGTGAAGTTGCCAAAACATATTCTTGAATTAAGGCTTTCTTTTTGAGATAGTCATATCGTATATTCCGCTATGACTATCTCAAAGGTTTGATGTACTTTGCGGTACATACCATGGCAATGGTATTGCGTTAGGGTGAATCCTCACTTGACTTCTAGCTCCAGGTCTACCGTAACCTGACCAATTTCGACTGCAATAGTAGTTTCACGTGAAAGTTCTAGTCGCGAAAAAAATGAGCTTCGGTCAACAACAAAAAAAAATTTGGTCTCGAATGAGGAGAATTGAGAGAAACGGACTATTTTTAGAAAGGCTGGATAGCCTTTCATAGATTCTCAGCGAATCGCAGAAACTACAATTCATCAATTATTATGATTACCAATTTGACAAAATTACCAAAATTACTGTTTGTTTGTGGCATAATTAATCCTGATCAAAATTATTCTGAACTGAGTAGAGCTGATCGAAATGAAATCGAAGGGCATAGCGGACATTCAGAAGCAGTATTCTTACGATATATTTAACTGAGCTTTAAAAAGATGCTATATTAGTTTTGAGTTTGGAAAAAAAATTCTAAGATAAATTAGCTAAAAAACTGTACATACTATTTTATAGAAAATACTACAGTGGCTGGGATAAAAGTGATGCTGAATTCAGTTTTTCAGTCCGAACATGTCTCAATTTTTTCTGAAAAAATTTTATATAAACAAATATTTTGCTTTCAGATGTTCTAGACGACAACAAACTCGATGATTCATCCGAAGACCAAAATGGCAACATTAAACAAGCGGAGGGGGAAATTCCGAATGGGTTCGTGCGACAGAAGACTTCTCTCGTGGATACTATTTCTCGGCTGCTGCCTGCGAACGAGGAAGAGTCCAAAAAGAGTCGGATCAAAGAGGCACTGGCAAAACTGACCGACGAAATGACAGGTACGAGGATTTATGGGAAGAAAAATGACCCCCCTATAAGATATAAAAAATATCAATTTTGCGGTACCAACACTGATTTCGCGAAATTATTTAATTGGACAAAAAAATTTGTAAATTTTTAATTACACCGTATACCAATTCTCATGGAAAATTGGATATATAAAAAAAGTACAAAAAAACTGTAATTAAATTGCTGTAATAATATAAATTGATACTGTAAAAAAAATTGAGGGTAGAGGAAGCGGGCTTTGAGAGGTGAAAATGTTAGAAGAGGTTTCGAAGCAATTCTTGAACGGTTCAACCAGCCAAAAAAGGAGGTCTTAAAATAGTACCAAAGGGGGACCCTTTGGGTAGTCAGTGGGTCGAATCCCTGAGAAGATGGAAAAAGCCGTCCGCCCCATCACCCCCCCCCCTTACACAGATGGTAACTTTTCAGCCCTCTTGACAAAAACTTCAAATTGTTTTGTTGGATCCGGAAAACTAAAATTAATTTAATTCAACCTTCGGTCTGATGGTTGATAGGCAGTTCCAATTCCTTTGCGCTATATGTGTGACCTAAATCAAGCTAGAAGTCTCGTTGAAAAGTGGTTAAATCATGTCTCGTCAGATTTTGGCCTAGCCTCGACTTTATCTCATCAAAATTTTCATGTCTGTACAAAACAGTTCAATGCAAAACAGTCCAACACAAAACAGTCCGGAAAAATTGAAAATGAACGAAAAAACGGTCGGAAAAACATTCCGAAGTAATTGTTTTCAGAAGCCGGTAGGCCGAGAATTGTCCTTTGTTCAACAAATAGTGACCGCCGCAGTCGCGCCAACAAGTTGCGAACTTGCCAACAAGTTGCGAACTTGCCAACAGAGGGTAGCACTCTATACGATATTTCAAGTTGGTTATCGCCGCGAAGCAGACTGTTTTGTATCAGACTGTTTTGCATTGGACTGTTTAGTATGGGACTGTTTTGTATATGCACCAAAAACTTGTCGCATTATAATTTTAAACTATGACTTGAATTTGATCACACTAGTCCCCGCGTCGAAGTGCTCATTCTATATTTCCACCGTCTCGACCCGCATCCAAGTTTAGGCTAAAGTAATCGATTATAACGAATTATTTTTTTGGATTTCTGACAATTATGAGTAATTCTAATAATTATATTTCTAATCTATTATAATTGTAATTTTTTCCAAAATTCCAAGAGAATATAATCTCTTAAAGAAAAAACTCTTTAAATCGATTTTACAAAAATAAAAATGCTATAATCTGAATGGATTTGAAAACTGTTAAAACAAACCTTCTCACTTTCAAGAAGAGCATAAAAAAAAAACAAATTAGATGCAAGCTTGAATGTCGATTAAATTGAATTTTTTGTGCATATTAAATAAATTAGAAATCGGGATTAAAATAATCGGTTTCAATCAATTATAATCAGTTATACTTAGTTCGAAACATAATTGGATTAATAATCAAAATTAATTGATGAAAATATGCTATAACTGATCAAAAAATGTATTTCAAAAAGAGAATTTAATCAATTAACGTTTGATTCCAATAGTTTTTTCTCAATTTTTTAAGACTGTTTCTAAAATCATAGTATATTCGATTATTAAGGCCCAAAAAAGTTGCTCAACTTCGATCAATTCAACCCGAATATGTTTTGGTTGTCTTGACCAAAAATTGGTGCTTTTTTACTTAAAAAATATACGTTTTGATTGTGTCAACCGAATGCGGGTATAATTCGAAATTGAGTTATTAAATTATCCAAAGTTAAGTTTTATAGTTGATGTTCTCAGGTAAAATATCTGGGTGTTTTCTCCAGAATGAAATTTTTATAGTCATTTGTAATTTAAAACTACAAATGACTACATTTTGAACTCAGTTAATACATGCAGGGGCCGATTTAGGGGCGGGGGGGGGGGGGGTACGTTCCCTTTTCTCAGGGATTTTCCAAAAATGCCTAAAAACGCTTTTTTCGACCTGTTTTTTTTCAAAAATTTTGCGGCGCAGAAATTATGGCCATAGCAGCCCTTTTTAGTGCTTTAGGAGAGCTCGGAAAATCAATTTGGTCGACCTAAAAAAAGTCAACAAAACTTTCAATTTTTTTTGAAAATACACCTCCCTCGCGAAAATCCTAGATCCGCGCCGCTGATTACATATAATGAACATTCTGTTTTTTGATTTGCGAAATGTTTTTGATTAAGACAAGTAAAAAATCCTAGTAGTGTGAAATTTTCACAAAATTGCTTCGTTCGGGTTGTCGTTGTCGGTAAGACAACATCTGGTTGTCCATAAAGTCAGCGTGAGTAAGGAAGCCAAACTTCCAGCTCTTGCAGCATATTTTCCTATAAAGATTCTAAAATTATCCGCAACTCAGCGAAGTGAGCTTCAATTTCTTTTTGACGCGTTTCTCGAAATCGCTGATCGTCGAAATTTTTTAGGAAATTTTAGTAAGATTTGATTAGTCAACTCGGAGTACGACTTTTTTTTCCGGTAATTTAAACTTGGTTTCCGTTAGTTTCGGATAGCTTGGCTTCTTGATGTTTTGACCGTGCTAGACCGTTTTTCGATATGTTTCGACCGTGCTCAAGGTATGTTTCGAGTTTGAGCTCGGGTTTTTTTTCGGTCGATTTCTGACTTCGTGGTCGACTTTGAAAGTCAAAACATAAAGTGAGTACTTTGACCCGAGTAACTGTCTACGCGACCTATTATGTTGACCATGAACGATTAGTCACTTGTTGGTTAACTTGAATTTAAGTTACTTCATAAATCGCTTTTTAACTTGAATGAAGGTTAAGCTTAAAAATCTATTTCATTTAATCTTAGTTCGAAAGAAATCTAAGATTACTAGCCTTTATTTGTAATCATTTATTTCTTAACACCTGTAGCACTCGACCACTTTAAAATCTTTTGTTTTCAGGCGAGCAACTTTTCTGTTCTGATTGCGAAGACGAACTGACAATAGACGAGCTGCATATTTGTCTCGACTGTCCTAAATGGCTATGCAATGATTGCAAAAACCACCATGTAAAGTCCAAAGCCACCCGTGCGCACGAAGTGTACACTCCTCCAAGTGTGTGTGCTATGGAGTGCACTGTTCACGGTGAGAACTTCTCACTCTTCTGCAAACAGTGCGAATCTTTGGTGTGTAGTCAGTGCATTACTCAGAAGTGCACGGTTGGAAAACACGATTTGATCAGTATCGACGAAAAAGAGCGCGAATCACGTGACACTTTGGAAGCATTCGCTGCCAGAATCAAGTCGCTCTCCGATTTGAACCAATCAAAACTGACCGAAATTTCCGAACGCGTTTCGACGTTCAGAGAGTTCGAGGAGCGCGCCAAACTTAAAATTGAAGCTCGCTTCGCTGAGTTGCGGTTACTTTTGGACTCTATGGAGGAAAACGTGCTACTGGAGCTGGATAGCTTGGCTTCCGATACTCACGCAGAATTTATAGACAACAGGGAGAAAGTAAAGCTTGAAAAAGAGGGCATTTCGAAATGCGACGATTCTATAAAACAGTGTCTGAAACGAAACAGAATCGGGCTGATAAATACCCTACCGATGACTGGAGCGTTGGTAATGAATTTAGAAGTAAACGAAAGCAACAAACCGCTTGAAGTTTCAGAGCCGAGCCTAGTCGAGCCGATTTTGAACAACGACAATTTTTTGTCAGACGTCGAAAAGCACGTAATCCGAGCGAGCAAAAGCGGAAAGTTGAAGTTAGTCGAAAACTCTGTTATAATCAACCAAATGCATATTAGAACTACCCAAGATCCAGAAGAAAATGTGATATATGATTTTTGTTGGGTTTCCAACTCGAAAATAGCGGTGGTAGATAACCGAAATAAAAGTCTGAAACTTTTAAGCCTTGATGATGCAGTTGTTATTAAACAAGTTTTCCACGACAACGGCTTGTGTCGTGTGTGTTGCAACCGCGATTTGGAGCAAATAATAGTTTGCGACGATAAATATTGTCTCTACAATTATGACCTAGATTTGAATTTTAAAGGCATAATTGATATTCCACATCATATCAGAAAACCATACGGGATGGATTTCCTGGAAAAAAGCGGCAACTTCATCATCGGCGATCGTCAAGATGGTCAAATTTACGAGCTAACTGCGATTAATCAGCCTCTGAGCCCAAACAGTACCCAAAGTTTCTCAGTTTTGAGACAAATTGCGTCCGGATTTTCTTGCTTAGATTACGTCACAACAACCAGTGATCACTTTTTGGTTTCACATGGTAATGGACATGGAGTCAGACTAATAACCGACGAAGGAAAGTTTGTTTGCGAAATTGACCAATCAGGGCAGGGCTTGAATTGGCCGCTAGGGGTCGCGTTTGACATGCACGGAAATGCTGTGATTTGCGACTCATGCAACCATCGAATTCTTGTCATTTCCCCCCTAGGCGAGAGATTGAAAGAAGTGAAGGGTTTCTATTTACCAAGGGCTGTCAAATTCAGCGACAATCAAGAGGTGCTAATTGTAGCAGAAAGAAGCGGTCGAGTTAAACTTTTGACGTATATGGAAAGTTCAAGCTAATCATTTTAACCTTAATTTCTTCATCAATCATCCAGATTATTGCTAATCTTTCTAGTTGAGACCATTTTTGAAACCATAAGATAAGATTCAACACGACCAAGCATTTTCTCGAGAGGGGTAGAGGATGGGTTTCAAAAAGATCCAATGATTCGACGTCTCAAATTAAATTTCCGAGCTCTCCCAAAGCCCTACAAAGACTCTGTTTTGGCCAAAAATTGCGCGCCGCAGGCAAACTTTTGAAAAAACAGGGCAAAAAAGGCGTTTTTAGGCACTTTTTATAAAAATTTTGACCAAAAAATTGCGTTTTTTTGGTGCACGCTCCCCCTTAAAATTATTATATATTGGCGCCAAAGCCGCCTTCAGAAAAATTTTTAGGTTCTGTCACCAAATATGTATATCTCAAAATAGACCAAAAGGGGGGAACCTGTACGTCAAACCCCGCTTCAAATCAGCCACCCCCCCCCCCCCCCCCCTGTTCAAGATAAAATGAAAGAAAAACACAATGAAATGAGCATGCGTGTTAACATTGATTATTTTTTTGGCACACATTTTTTCTATTTCCAAATTTTTGCAACAAAAGAGTGTTGACAAGCTTGCCTATTTTTCAGCCACGCTTTGAAATTTTTGTTTTCTCAATATGCACATCAGTAGCCAATTTAAAACGCGGACGCTTCTCGTCTGGGATTCGATTCCTTGATCACTATAAAAGGTTACCCCCTTCGGCATATCTTAAAGCATCCAACTTTGGGTGACCAACTCATTTTTGACTTGTTTTTTTCCCATATTTTAGCTTAAAAAAACTTTTTGCATATTTTATATAAAAAGACCTTTATAGTGTCCAAATAAAACTGAGATTGTACATTGATTCACATGCTAAAGATAAAAAAAAACACTTCGAACTAAAGTTTGTTTTTGCAAATTTTTAAGAAAAATTGCTTCAAAACCGTCACGCTGGCTCATAATTGCGAAAACTTTTTTTGCATATATAAAGCAAAAAAATACGATCTTCACATGTGAATCTGTTAAAGACAAGTGAAGAAAAATAATTTTTTACAAAAGAAAGGTTTCCAGCTTGACTAAACCACTCAAGTTTTCCTCACGCCAGCAAATGACAATAAATACGACAAATTTAACGACAGTCTGGAAAAATCTGTCATTTCACTTTTCATACAAAGTAACGAGGCTCGCTCAGCCGTTGTCGATAGATTACGGCGTCATGACTTAAAAAAGTTACTTAATTAGGATGTGTTGCTAATTTGTTTTAGTTGATTTTGTATTCAGTTAAGACGGAACGATAATTCTCAAGGCTCGCTCTTTCCATTAATTTTAGTTGAGACATTTGTATAAATGAAAACCACAGGGACAAATCATGAGGTGCAGAGTCTTTTTAGGTGCCCTGGATAGTAGTGCATGCAGTTGGAAAAAATAGGCTAAATTTCGGTCACTTGATACAGATCAGGTCAAAAAATTCTGAGTTTTTGTTTTTGATTAGTGTCTTAAATTGATCGCAACACAGAGCCAAACTTTTTTTGACATTTTTTTGGATAATTTTAAGAACCTTTGAAGAACAAAAGTTACAAAAATTGTTAGCCTTGGTAGTAACCAAAATTTGGTCAGAAAGTGCGACAAAGAATAGAAAATAGGATTTTTTTTGACATTTTTTTCAATATTTTTCAGAATTTTTGAAGAGTATGTTTGAAGATAAAAAATTATAGTTTGTTAGCGTTGGTATTAACCAAACTTTGGTACCAAAAAACGCCACAAGGAACAAAATGTAGAATTTTTTTTTCTGAAAACGGTGAAACAATAGGGAAACAAAGCGGTGACCTTCAAATATTGCTGAAAATTTGTGAACGGTTCAAATGGAATGTTGACTGAAAACAGGTTGTATAAGATAGAACTTGCAATTAAAGTAAAATGCTCCGAGGGTTCCTTCTGCATTAGAAGATTGTAAAAGATTGCGATGTTTCGTTCAGAAAACGTATGCCACTAGGTCATAGCTGCTAATTGTTTTTGCGTATAAATTGTTAAAAAAATAAAAGACATTGTCGTGAAAAATAATTTTTAGCTTGATTTAGTAACCCATTGGAACGGGCCCATTAAGGCTAACAAAGTCAATATTAAGGTTTTTTTGAAAAAAAAATTATCTGATGTTTACATTTGTGAAGCAAAAATTCTGTAGCATTAATCCTTCACTTTCTTTAATTCACGCTTAAAAAAATCTTTGTCTTACCAGTTGGACACAAATCAAATGAAATTTTAATACATTAGTATGAGCAGAGGAATAATTTTTTTGGAAAAAAATGTTTTGTAGCCAAAGCGTTATGCTTATTTATAAAGGTAAAAAGTTTTTGTGAAAAAACTATTAAACAATTTTAACAACAGTCAAATTACGGCTCATCAGTAAACAGTTACCGGGGTGGTTCAATCGCCCAGATTTATTGGAAAGAATTAGTTTAGTCTTTTTAAAAAACCTTGGAAAAAGTTTTCTTCTTTAATATTCAGAGTAAACAATTGGTACCAGAAAAAGAATGAGTATCGGTGCAATTTTTTGTATAAAGGTGCCATCATGACCAAAAAAAATTTGTTTATGAGTTCAATTATTGTATCAAACTTTTCATTTTCAGAAAGTGGATGGAGACAGAACGAATGTGCATTAACCGACAAGATATATTTTGCAATACTTGCAGCTAAATTTTTACTAAATTTCCAGCTTCAAACTAAATTTCCAATGTTTAGTTTGAAGCTTCAATTCTTTTTTCAAACCTGATCGAAATTTTTTCATGAAAATATTAGGCCCTCGCCACCTCGTGCATATGTTTCAACTCACTCGGAATTGTTCGTGCTATCTTGCCTTCGGTTCAATCTCTCAAAACCGTTAAAATTTATCAACGATTTGATTCACGCATTTGACGGAATAGCTGGGGGAGTGCTTTTTGATATCTATACTTAAGGTCAGCGATTTCCAGTAAATTTCTTTCTTTTGACTTCTCAAGAACTTATACTGGTTTACTTTCTGCTTTGATTTAGTGAACATTTATTTCGTCCAAGTTTTTAGTGAACACTAAAATTGGCGTCGATTTCTTGTGTTTAACAACACACACTCGCTGACATAATTGCGTCTACGTTTATTTTGTGTGAAAGCCACTCTTACAAAACAATGGGTCGTTTATTGATCGGGTTTTTTTCCTCTGGCGAATCGATTAAAATAGTGATCTTAAGATACCATCAGTTTTTTTGCAAATGAGGGTTTTCGGACTAAATCTTGCATGGTGGAGGCTATATTGAAGATTAATGTAAAATAGTAAAACTCCTAAAAATATTTTAAAAGTTTGCAACGAGATAACAGAGACAATAAGTTTGACCAATGCACTTTAACTCTAGAATAAATCTACCCATTGCATTAGAGTTTGGTCAAAAAAGAGTTTTATAGTAATTGAGGAGAGGGCAGAGAATTCATCTGTTCGACCTAAAAGCTGACAAAACTTTAAAGTTTTTTTGTTTCGAAAAAACGCTCGTCTCATGAAAATCTTAGATCAGTCACTGATAAAAACGTAAGTACATTCTAATTTCCGTTAAAAAATAGTTTCGTGGGAACATAACATCGTGCTGATTTTGATTGAACAGTTATTGGCAGAGTTTTTAATGGCATCTGTACAATATCGGTACCTAATCTTAAAAGGTAACAAAATCTTGCAGTTTTTTCTAAAATAAGTGGGGACTTAAGCTCATATTTGGAAGGTTTATTGGTCCAACTAACTTACAACTGAATGCAAAATAGATTTTATTTCTACACCAACCTTGCCCATCGAAACAAAACTTCTTTTGTATTTCAAAGTCAAGTTATTCCATTTTTTAGACAAAATGACAGAATAACTGTGCTTGGGTCGGTTTTTCCTCCAGATTTTATTCGAATTATTCACCTAAAAACCTTGACAGAAAAAGTATTAAAGAACTTGTCGATCTATAGAAACCTCATTTCGTAAATAAAGACATTTATACAATCTTCTCGATATACACAAGAATATATCAATATTCGTGTTCGTATGACCCGATTCTGTTAGAGTGGAAAGAAATTGGAAAGAATATTTCTCAAACAACTAGTCTCTAATCTTTCTAATAGTTTACGGAGAATAGCCTTATCCTCAAGAAAATCAATTTTTTTGAACTGTGCTTGCAGCCCGTTTTTTTAAGAGTGGCAATATTTCAAATCACAGCGCTGCAGAATTTCTCTCAAATAACCATGCCCAGCAAGCTCATTCTTGAAAATATTTATCAAGAACATTTTGGCTAACTTTTATCATAAACTTAGCTCATGGTTTCGACAAAATTTTTCAGAGCCATATCGTGAACTAAGTATTCGCTTTGGACTGACATTAAGACGCTTCATCATCTCTTTGCTTTAATTTACAAAAATTTTACGATTTGTTTCTGTTGTTTCTGGTTTTGCACGAGGATCCTTTGTCAATTGAGAATAATGTCAATTGAGAACCTTTCAAAACAACTATCCTAAACACTTGATGCCAGTTTCTCTAGAGAGGAACCTGATCGATTAAGAGAGTGATCTCACTGGAACCAGTTCAAACAAGTATTTATTATATACTTTGATATTTATAAATGTGAAATATCTAGAGCTAACCAATCATGATTCATTACCAAAACTTATGATGATTTGTAAAGCTGAAACTATTCAGTTTCAGCCATAGAAAATATAATTCAAAATAAAAAGCAGTTGCTCCTTTCTCTCCTCTACAATTACCAGTATATACTAGATCTATTGAGACTAGGAAATGAAAGATTAAGATTAAGATCGGTATAAGACTAAGAAGTCGCACGAATCTATCAGGCCAAAAATAACATAGCGTGACGAACAGACGGTGTACCTTATCCGAAACTCCTCTATGAGAAGGCCACCCCGGGCATAAAATCATTACAAATACTATCAAGATTTCGCAAACGAGGGCTATTCGGCTAAAACTTGAACGTTGGAGGCAATTTTGCAAGAGGGACCAAGTTAGTATCCTCCCTCCTTAACTTGGTTCTAAGTTGGGTTTTTTTTAGCCAATCAGAATCGAGCACTTAACATGCAGCGCTTAGTAAAT